TTTTTTTTCAATTTTTGAAAACTTTAAAAATAACAAGAGAGATTCACAAATACTTTGGGAAGTTTCTCCTCAAAAAGCTGAGGTATGCCAAGTAAGTGACTAGTTTTCGTCATGCATTAGAACAATGGCCTGATTTAATATGACAAAGTAGACATTGTTAATGAGGTATGTCCTCAGTTCACCCCATTTATCATTGTAAAGTGTAGAAGTTATGTTGCACTCTAATTAAAGGTGAAGCCAGTAGCTTGACACTTTCCAGAAGATGACCCTGTTTCAGTTTCCTGAGTTTTTGCCAAACTATTTGGATGAAATGTTCTGTGCTGAATAGTTGCCTGAGAAGCATTTCATTTTATTTATTTACTCTGAACTTCTTTGCAGAGACCGTCCAGCCATTTCTAAGAGGGATACTAATTTGCAATCATTTTATGGAAAAAAAACCTGCAGTCTCTCTCCTCAAAGCTAAGAGCTTGAAATTTGCATGCAACCTTTCTCATATCTGAAGGAATTATCTTTTTTTGTCTATATGGAGGCGAAGAAAGGAAGAAGAACAATTGCAGTCCGCAGCTCAGCAATTACATTCTCTGCAGAGTCAGAGCATCTCTCAGAGTAGAGAGAGATGGAAACGATACCACCTTTAGGCAGGGAAGCCGGGAGCAAGCTAAAGCACAGTACACTCCCTGGACTGCTCCAGGGGCATTTGTGTTGCCCAGCTGTAGGATTTCCACAGTTTGATGTGGTGCGACCACTTTGCTCTGACAGTGGGTAGTCCGAGCTGTCATATATAAATCCCACTGCAGGAGAATCAGGGGCTGAAAAATCCATGTAAGAAAGATGAAGGTGTCTTTCCAAAGCCAGGACTGATGAAGTTGGTGCAAGGAGGAATTCACACACACAAAAACTGTGTTAAAAGAATGCCATAGGTAGCAGAGAAACTCAGAGGTGTGCAAGTTGCACATTCAGAAGCATCAGCATGAGCAGGGCCTCTGCTTATCTGCACTGTGTTAAGTCTTTTATTATGTGCTCACATGGGATGTCTGTCACGTAAGATGAATAAAGTTACGAAAGGTAAAGTATGGTTACGCAAGAAAGAGATTCTCGTGTAGAGAGCAAAGTTGTATCTTAAATGGGTGGAGTGTTGCAGAGTGGTATCAGAGGGTGTCGAAGTTAAGAAACTTGAATTCTGCCCTACAAGACTGAACCCTTCACATCACAGAGTTTTGGGTAGTTCTGAGTGGTCCTATAAAATGTTGAGCACCCAGAAAAACTAAGTTCTCAAGTTGGCGGTGCGCACCCAACTGTTATTCGTATCCTACGCTGAACGTGTGTTGTACACCATGTGATGTTACTCAGCCAAACTTCTTAGAGCAATCCTCCAGCTTTTGTTATTCACCCAGAGCTGCTCAGTACCAAGTCCAATGACTTAGAAATGAAACTCCATTTCCACTGGAACAACCTCATTACCTTGTTTCACAACCATGATGCAGTGAAGTAATTTCTTGCTGTGTTACAACTATGAGCAGTCTTGGGACATTAAATACAAAAGCATTCTTCTTGCAACTTTTAAGCATACATGTTGTCTCTTGTATGCTATAGTGAAGTGATTGCTATAGTGAAGCTGAGATCTAACCAGCATGGTGTTTTCTTGCTTGCTGGGCTAATTTTTTGCAAATATTTCCGTTTAATTGATTGGTAGCATATGCATATTCAAGTGCACAAATTCAAGTAAAATGTAAGAAACTGGCTGAAACTCCTGAGCAGCTCTGCAAAGCAGAGCGTGCGCGGTCCTGATTTAAATGGGGAGCTGCACCACATACTGAGAAGTCTGTCAACAAAAGCTAGAGGATGTGTCTAAAGCCCTTTCTAGTAAATGTTTGCTTAAGTTAGCAGAACACGGATGAAACATGCTACAAGGAGTAATTTAATGTCAGCAGAAAAGGGTTCTAGTTGTGTTACTGCGACGCATGTGTTGGGGTTCATTAACCTGTCAGCTCTGCTCACGGTCCTCAGACATGAGGTGTGATCTGGTGTCATTTAATGCATTAGCGTGAGTACAAGCGTAGAGATAACACTGTGTAGAACGGCAGCCAGAAATAACATCATCTTTGTGTTTCCTGAGACACTCATTGTCAGTGTCTGGGACTTTGGCAAAGCCAGAGGTAGTCCTCATTGGCACAGTAGCTGCTGATTCATTAAACGTTTCGCCTGTGACACTTCCCAGAGAATTTGTTCTATAGGTTGGAAGGGGTGGACTGATTATTTGGTTACTCTGTCAAAGAAATGTGTCTGCTTGAAATAATAATCTTATTATGCTCAATTATTTTGCTCAACATCAGCATTTGGCTTAAATAAAACAAAGATGTTGTCATCTCTTCAGAGGAAGTATTTATACAGTGCTGTATCAGATTGAATCATAGAATCATAGAATGGCATAGGCTGGAAGGGACCTTAGAGATCATCTAATCCAACCTCCCTGTCATGGGCAGGGATGCCTCTCAAGTAGATCAGGCTACTCGGGGCTCTGTCCAACTTGGCCTTGAACACCTCCAGGGAGGGGGCATTCACAACCTCTCTGGGCAATTTATTCCAAAGTCTCACCACCCTCGTACTGAAGAATTTCTTCCTAAGATCTAACCTAAATCTGTTCTCCTTCAACTTAAACCCGTTTCCCCTTGTCCTATCAGTGGACAGTCTTGTAAAAAGTCCCTCCCCAGCCTTCCTGTAGGTTCCCTTCAGGTATTGGAAGGCAGCTATTAGGTTCCCCCTACGATGTCTCTTTTCAAGGCTGAACAATCCCAGCTCCCGCAACCTGTCCTTGTAGCAGAGGTGCTCCAGCCCCTGGATCATCTTTGTGGTGATGATCTTCAATATTCAAGATTGAAGCTTGACATGTACCTACTGAAAGTCAGCTATATCTCAGCGCAGAATAAAAATAGCATTATTTGGCCCATATATGATGAGTATCGCTAAAGGAAAGTGGTTTTACCTATCAGAAAAAAGTAAGCCCGAATCTTGCATATAAAACACATGAGTAATTAGACATGCCTTCAGTATGAAAGTTTGATTTATTATGTTTTTTTCAGCAATGTATTTGTTATAGAGCATTGCAATAGCAAGTAGCAACAGTAGCAACAGGGAAAGGAGTATTAACTCTCATCAGTGTTAACCGAGGTTCCTTGAATAAATTCTTACTAGCATTTATAATACTACAGGGCCTTTTATTCAAATAGTAGCTGTGTCTGAATGGTGTTGGTAAATGTGTGCACATCGGGGGAAGAGAGAAGAAAAGAGAAATGCCCTCTTCATTTTCCTTCCCACCTCCCCTCCAGTGGGGATTCAGTAGCTGCAAAAGACAGACTGGCTGTTCTCAATAATCACTGGCAGAACTGGAAGTGACAGATCAAGGTCCTCTTGTCGCTCTTCCTGTAGCACCATCCTTAGGTCAGGCACCCAGCATCCCTGGGAGTAAGGCTGCCAGATGATACCTTGGCTTCTCTCACAGGATGGAAACCCCGATTTCTGATCTCCTGTACCCTTAACACAGACTCTGGTCAGATACAGCTACTTTCCTAATCTCAGATACAGCTCAACAGTGAGTGCTGCCTCCCTCTCTTTCCTCTTGGCTTCTCTCCCAAAACAGATGAAAACAACATAACAGCAAGTTTGTATAAGGCAAATAGGTACAGTTTGCTGATTTTCTTCCTTTCCATCCTGTATTGTAGGTATTATTATTGTTACTACTATTGTGGTGCGTATTACTATGGATATCAGAATATGATATCCTGCCATCAGTGTCCCTATTTGTGTCCCTTTACAGCTAGTCTGCAGCAGTTATTCCAAAACATGAAGACGATGGTGCGTAGAAGGCTTTTAGTTATTGCAGAATAATACAAAGTGTCTCTTCAGCTGCTATTTGAGGGCATCTTCTCTGCAGCGACTTTGATGGATAGTCTTTGTCCTTACCATTAAAGTACTCTTGATCTAGCCCTGGATGTCAGATTAATTATTGCCTGGCCTAGGGTGAAGACTGTGAATGTTAAGTTCAGGCTTGAGCTCCCTGGAGCTGTGGTTCCCATTCAGTCTTCAAACTCTTGGATAGTAAATTGGCTGTGAAATAATCCAGTGTGGGCATGGAAATTAAAGTTAAACCTGATGTTTACGGAGGGAACAAAGTACATTGCCTGCAATCTATTATTGGTTCTCAGAGACTAGAGAAGGTGGGGATCACTGAACTACAGAAAAGATTGCTGTCGGACTTAGAAGAACTCATCTAGCACTGGACTGAACTCCCCTGGATGTTAAGGATTTTTGCAAGTTCCATCATGTGCTGCTTTTTGTGCACATCATTTTGTGTTCTGGAGTATAAGTATCTAATACCATATAGAGTTAAAAATAAAACCCAGCAAAATTAAAACCCTAACCAAAACAATTCTATAAAGCACCCTCCTACAAAACAAGACTCTCTACACGGAAGAGATAACACTATTGGTAACATTATTCCGGTTGTTTGATGTATTATAGAGGGTACTCACACTTCAGCATGGATTGCACTTTTAAGAATTTACATGCAGTTTGTTTAGTTGCTCCGTAAAGACTAGCATTTTTGTCCATTTAGAAGAATATTGTAGCACCTTTCTAGACAGTTGCAGAACATCTTTACAGAGTCAAGTATTAGTCTTTCTTGCTGAAGATTATTTGGAAAAACAGTAAGAACTAAATCGTTGGCTAATATAAATGAGTATAGTTCACTTTAGTCTTCATCGGGTTTCAATTAGCCCAGTCCCATGTCATGCCAGCCGATGGCATTACTTCCTTGTTATATGTAATGGTATAAACTGTCACAGCTTTTTTTGTCTTCAAGCAGAGGTACCACGTTTCAAGTGGCCTGCTTTGGGTCACAATTTGAAAATGAGTTATATAATTCATTTTACCTTGACTGAGCTCCAGCTGGTAGGGACTGTTAGATAGTAATATCGTTTCATTTATTTGTTTCATTTCTATAGGGCACTTGCTTGGGCTTTCCCACGATGACTCCAAATTTTGTGAGGAGAACTTTGGCTCCATGGAAGATAAGCGCCTAATGTCCTCCATTTTGACTAGCATCGATGCTTCAAAGCCCTGGTCCAAATGCACTTCGGCTACTATAACTGAATTTTTCGATGACGGTCATGGTATGTGTTGTCACACTTTGCGTCGGCTACATGTTAGTGTTTGCTGTGATGCGTTTTTTGAATAAGAACATTTTATATTCGCTTTTTCGTTCCTTGCTTGTCTTCCTTGCAAAACAAGGCAAAGGTCTAAAGGGCTGGCAGAGTCCCACCTCCTTTGCATGGTTCATATGAAAGAGAAAAGCAAGAGTTGATGGAGTGTGTGTTGGCGATAATTTGATTTGGAACATAGTGGTTTTTTTAAGCATGGAATTATTCTTGTCTTCCTAAATGCCACAGATATGAGCTCAGAGAGTACTTTAAACAGGGGACACAAGGCAATGCTTTTCCTCATAGAAATTAAAATGGTATTGTTTACTTAGTGTTAGACTGCAGATATGAGCAGAGTGTATCTGTTCTTGTTATCATTAATGACATTTATATGTTTATAATGCCATTATATTTATTCAGTTTATAATGCCATTGTATTTATTATGTTTATGTAGAGGGGCTGTAAGCAAGAATTAAGGCTCCTCTGTGCTGTTTGTGATAAAAGAGTACTTCTGCCCCAGGAGCTTACCTTCCAAGTCATATAACTAATATTTGTTAAATATGTTACTTACCCTTTGGAGAATAAGTGCAAAACTTTCATTTTCCAAAAGTAGTAATAAAAAAGCTTAGTCTTCACTCTTTAATGAGTTTTAAAGTCTTCGTTGTGCTCCCAAAGCAACTACAGTTCTTAAACAAACCATTCAAATTCCAAAGTGCTGAGATAAAAATGACATAATTGAGTGAATGGATCAAGTTGTTATGGTAACTGAAATGCTTATGGATAAAAAGTATGGTACGTTTGCTGAATGTAAAGGTTTTTTTTCTTTTAAATATTTTGTTGGCTAATTTCAGTGCTCTCTGAAATATTTTCTCCTGTTTTCCCCTATTGGAGAATGACTTCATTTTTCTCTCAATTTTATTAGATTCATTAATCTGTGCTGTCCTGGTTTATGGTCCATATCGCTTTGGCATTGACTTAATTTTACCAAGTTAGTTTCCACATATGAAGAGAACTTTTCAAGTTTAGTTACTGAGGTACAGTACAGTTCACTAGGGTTAAAAAAAAGGGACCTCCCTTGCCATCCAGGTATATGACCTCTTTAGAGAGCGCACGGAACTCTGAACTACGGTTCCTCTTCTGTTCCTCTCCTGCTGCAGGCGAGTAGAAAGGTTGGTTGTTCTAATTTTTTCCTGTTTTTTGTGTCCTGACTTCTCCTCCTTGCTATGCATTTGGCTAGCTACTTTCTCCAACAATAAAGAAAGCAAAGAGACCATTTCCCCCACCCACCTCACCTTTGGCTTGTTTGTACCTAGGGGATGCTCGAAATTTGGAACCTTATCCATGAGCTAGATCCAATCTCAGTATGGAAGTGAGGAGGGGCGGTAACAATCAGTCCTGCAGGTCTAAGAATATACATCTGCCATTTTTTTTCAGTAAAAGTAGGTAGGAGCTTCAGATCCTTCAGAGCTGCTTTATGGTCTCCTTGTTCAGCATGAGTGCTGTTTTCCTGTACACGACATTTATCAGTCCTCAACTGCTGCTGCTTTTCACAAAGTCACGTATTCTTTGCTGCGTGTGAAGGGCTTAGGATCTCTCAGCCTGTTAACGCATGGGTTAGGGTACACTGCCCTTTCTAATACTCATGAGTAGTTACCACTTGGGCATGTAGTCTCAAAGAGTTATCAATATGATGAAATAATTCACAGAAAATTTGAACCTCTCGCCATAGAGGTCCATAGTCCTCTGGGAATTAATTTTATTAGTGATGCTATTGGCGTGATCTCAAATATAAAATATTTAGGGAATCTCTTTTCTTGATAGATCAGGCCTTCAGAGACCTTTTCTGAGTAAGTCGTCCTTTTCTGTTGAAGTTTATCATTTTTTAGTTATTTATATTAAATCAAAGATTTGTCTTAATAGAACATAAACACTATCTATGAAGTAAAAATGGAAGTCAATTATTTAAATTGCATTTTCTTCAAATTATTGTGCTGAATGGGCAGGCATTATTTTAGGAAGGAAACTTCTTCTGGTTTGATTTTCTTCTTCCAGCCAGTGAACGAATCGATAGCTCCATAATTCCTATTTGTAATGTATACTGAGTGTATCAGAAACCACAGAATCCTAGTGGAGCATGATGCTGCTTTGGCCTGGTAGTAAACCAGTGCAAAGATGCCATATTTCCATGTTTCCTTCACAATAAGCATCTGTCTGCTTTTTGGGTTGCTCATTTTTTTCCTTAGCTGGGGCAGATGTACTGTTGTGTAGTTGCAGTGTTTTCCTTCCCTTTTTGCTTTCAATAAAGTGATCCTCTGCAATGTTCCCATAGAAAGAAGAAAATCCTCTCTCTCTCTCAAGTTTTGCTAGGTAAGGGAAAAAAACCTTAACCATTCAGGTGTAATTTTGAGCAGTGCTGCAGGCATAACGTGGATGAGGAAAGCAGAAAATAGCAGTTGCAATGAAAGAATACAGATATTCCTATGCCAGGCTTTCCTTCAGGATATTTGTGACTAGATGTTGCAGCGTCACAGGAAGCTTAAAGTGGGAAGCACTGAACAAGAGGAGATTCTTCCATTCTGTGATAGGCAGCATAAGCAGTTTGCACCGGGCTTTTGGTCTGAACATGAGCTTATGAATTGTGCTCTGTGACAACCAGGGCATGGCCGTATTGGTGTGGGGAAATAAGTAAAGTGCCTCATCTGCTGCTCCTTATGGCTAAGCATAATGAAATGTGAATGAAGTCCAGAAGTTTGGATCTGCAACGGTATTGTACTACAGAAGAACAGTCAATGTCTTATTAAAGTTTTAAGTTTTAGATTTAGATTCAGATCTTTAGATTTAGATGTTTACTCCATACTGCTGTAACAGCAAACATCACAGTCTTGACCCTCTAATTCATTAACATCATTTTGTCAAGTATCGATGTTCCTATTTTCTAAATTTGGAAAGTGAAGTTGGGGAGCAGACTCATCTTATAAAAACGTGGGTATTTGCTATGTAGGTAGCTACTCCTAAAGTGGGTATTTAAGTTCCCATCATAGTGCAGAGGGGTCTAATCAATGAGATCAGTGGTTTGACTGATCTCATGAGTTTTATTAGTGGTGCTGAATTACACCATAAACTCGTTCGCCCCCGTAGTGAAACATCTGACAGCTGCCTGAACTGCAGACACCAGCATTACATACAGTTAAAGTCAGCGAAATAAATCCCAATGTAAACGTCTTGTCCAAGGTCAATCAGGAGGTCTGGGCAGGATCAAGGTGCTGACTCCCTGTCTCCCGAGGCCTGCTCTGAGAACTATAAACATCATCGCCATGATATCACCATTTGTTTTACACTCATGAGATGACCTCAGACAGCAGTTTGACAGTTAGGAAGAAAAGGCTCAGTTAGTGTCCAGAAGGCAGTGACATTTATTTCTGTCTGCTTTTAGCCAACCCTTTCCTAAGGCACTAATTGCCTTTATTGTCATGCCAACCACCACACTGTGGTATGATTGCTTGCAATTTATTGTGTTTAGCCAGAGTGCTTGGTGCCCTGTGCAACCTGAAAAAAAGGGCTATTTCTGTTTTAATTAGTTTATACCCCGGTTATCTGCTTCCTGCACAGATCTTACTCTTTTTTTCCCAAGATATATCACACGTAAGTTGAGGCGAGATAACGAGATGACTTAATTAACACTGTCATCAGACAAGAACGTTGCTTTATTCCAGAGCACACAGATGTACTTTGGTACTCAGGATAAAAAAATGCGAATAGCAGTATATCCATGCTCTGTTTGATGTTGTAATGTAACATAGTGAATTGAAGCCCTCTCTGCCCTCTCAACCAGAAGGCCCAGGGCAAACCATTCTCCAACTTTTTAACTGTGTTTTCTGACCATTACAAGTAGGAGGTTGGGCCAGCTGGTGGTAAAAACACCTGCACTTCGTTGCAACTTGTCTAAACATAGATTACCACTGCTACTATCTATAAATGTAAAGACTTTTTTGTTTTGTTTTTTTTTCCCTTGTGGGGAATCCTTAGGGGCCTTTCCTATCTTCAGTTTTGAATTTATCATGTGAGGTCAGCTGGAACACCTGGCTTTATAGACATGATACATGTTTCCTCAGAGCAGTATGGGTTAAGGAGAGCTTTGGATCTCATTCCTCTCTATTCTGAAGGGGAAAAAATGCTATATTTTCTATGTAAGCTTGTGAAACCTGTTTGTTATTCACATGTGAAAGATACTCAAACAGGTGTTAACTAAAATGATTGACAGACCAAATACATGCAAGGATATGGCCTTTTCTTTCTTTTTTTCTCTATATTTCCAGTTGTGTTAATAATGGTAGATCTCAGTGATGGGCAGCAGTGTCTGTCATGAAATGAAGTGTTATTACAATGTTTTAAAATACTGAATAACAGTTGCACTTCGGAGTGCACTACTACTGTAGTGTATGCTAGTGAATGTGGACATGGTAGTGCCTTCCCATCACCACCCCAACACTGTACTAGCTTCCTCTCTCATCACAAGGTATATGAAGTAGGATTTTTGTGTATTTTTGACAGCAACTTTTGCCAATTATATCCTTTTCAGAAACTCGAGAAAAAAAATCTGTGCTTCCTCACTCCTCAACATGTCTCTAATATTTTACACTACAACAGGCTTTGAACGCTAGAGTACATGTAATTATCTTTATCTCATGGCACTCAGCTTGCCAGTTAGCTTTGACACACCTTGTCTTCATTTAAAAAGTCAGCATAATCCAGATTAAAGACAATGCTAGGGTAAATCAAGGTCAGCAAAGAACAAACTGAACAAGTTTAACAAGAGAGAGAGTTTTTTGATAGTAAGTGATGATGCAGAGGGAATTTTTGGCTGATTTGGTTAGTATGCCGTAGTCTTTAGAGGAAAGAAAGAACAGTTCCTGTAAGTGCGTGTTCTGGAGGGAGAACTCAGGACATTGAGAGATGGGGTATTTGATTTCTTTAAATTCACTGCCATAGCCTGAAATTCTATTTCATTTTGTGTAAATAGTGAGATTTTAACAGATAGCTTTTTTTACCCATAATCTAACTGAAGAATACTGGTGTAGGTTCCAAAGTGAGGTAAATTGTGTAAGTTATTTTGGCCAAGGGTAAGTGAACCTTGTCCGGACCACATATCTCTTTCATGAAGCATAGAAGAGATTACTGAATAAATGGTTCTGCATGTCAATAGGTAAGTTTTTCAATAGTGAAAAAACCCAAACCTATCAGTAGATCCTCTAGAACATAAATGTGAATTCTCATTTTTAGAGTGTGCCAGACAAATCTTGACCTCTGCAATATATCTCAAAACATATATACAATTCTTTAAGTTTATGCTATTTTTTCTTTTCTTTCTGTTATTTATGTATTTATGTATGTAATGGATAGCTTGCTTCCAACTAATGCCAGAAGTAGCCAAGTATCATTCCTCACAAGGAAAGCCTAGTCCAAATTTACTGCCAACATTAGTTTTGATATGCAGCTTATATTTTTCCATTTTTCCTTTGATCTGTTGGGGTTTTCTCCTTTTTTTAAAAAAAAAAAAAGTGCCACATTGGCTACAAGTCCAGTTTTTGTGATTTTTCTGACATCCCTTTAGAAGCTTTACCATTTGTGACATTCTGTCTCAAAATTCAAATGACAACTTTGCTTACCATGCCATGACTCTTGATCATTCCTTAAATCACAAACTGATAAATAAGCGTGGAATGTGTTCAGAGTCAGTTCAAATAAAGGAAAACAGAATGAAAGGCCAAAGGGACCTGAGTAAAACTCATTTACACCTTGGACTGGAAATAGACAGCTCGACACCTGGTGCGCTGCTGGGTGGGAACACAGTATGACCTTGTCCAAAACCTGATGATGCTTCATCCTTTCTGTTCAGGTCAGCATCCTTTGGATGAGGTTCGCTGTCATTATCGATCTGCCTAACTTGAATGACAGATTTGCAGCACTGCAGAGAAAACTGGGAAATGAGTAGTAATAGGTTGATTTGTTCTTTTAGGTAACTGTTTGCTGGACCAACCGAGAAAGCAGATCCTGGGCCCCGAGGAGCTCCCGGGACAAACCTATGATGCCATCCGTCAGTGCAAACTGGCGTTTGGGTCGGAATACACGGTGTGTCCCGGCATGGATGTGTGCTCTCGCCTCTGGTGTGCGGTTGTGCGCCAAGGTCAGATGGTGTGTCTGACGAAGAAGCTGCCTGCTGTGGAGGGAACACCATGTGGAAAAGGGAGGATCTGCCTCCAGGGGAAATGCGTTGACAAAACCAAGAAGAAATACTACTCAGTAAGTTACTAGCTGTGACCCTGGGGGATTCTAGAAGGCACGATCCTCAAAGGCGCTGATTTTTGTGGGAGTGAAAGGGACTCTGTGGAAGTCGGATTGAAATCTGCCTTATTTTCTAGCATGTAATTGGAATGTTGTTGGTGAGGGATATAGGAAGAACGCTGCTGAGTTTCAGGAAGCGTGTTTTCTTCTTAAGTATGAAAGCCTTCATTCCTGGAAAACTAGGGGCACTCCTTCAGGGTAGAGGGTTTGCCCATTCGGTAGGTCAGGTCTCAGGACATACGGAAAGACTGTCAAGGACCTATTCTTAGCTTCCTAACTTCTTGGCAATGGACTGCGAGTTAAATGAAAACTGTAAATTTAATTTACAGTCCTTACCCGAAAGGCCCCAGGGCCTAACTCTAGTGAAGAGAAAGACTGATGAAGTTCATCCTCAATATAATTTCTGGAGCAGAAAGGTTTGTACCTCCAGTGACACAGTCCCCTCTGTCAGCTTTATACATCTGAAGAGTCCCCAGGCTTTTGAGAACTGTCAGCTGCACAGTTCAGCTACTTCTAAATTAACTGGGTGGATAGTAGCACTGCTCCTTCTCCTGTACCCACAGGAGAGGTACGGGCTTGTAGAGCTTTGTGAAGATATTTGCAAACTATGTGGGTCCTTCTAATCAAGCTACAGCCCTTATAACACCATTTTTTATCGAATTATATACTACTTCATGCAATACCTGGAAGTGGTTGTAATGCTCTTTTTAGGGATCCAAATTAGTGGAGTTGCAAACTATATCTGACAACTCCATCTCTTACTGGTAATTCAGAGCCATACCTACACATCACAGTAATTGCATTTAATTAATCACAGATTATCCTTATGAATGTATCTTGTGAGCCGAATCCCCTGGATCTAGCTTAAGGGAGCCTGTTGGTGGGAATAGCAAAAAAACAGAGAGCAGCACATGAGAGTGTGGACACTACTTCTGGTACATGTTTGTCTTTCATGAGACAGGCTGAAGGTGGCTGTGCAGAGCAAGGCCTAGTATTGCCCTTGCACGCACGGCGCCAAATGAGATGTCATCAATGTGCAGATAAAAGACAGATGTTAACTCTGCCGAGAGAAAGAAGGCTCCTAGGAGCTGTTACCCCTGACTAAAATAACCAAGGAATCACCTTCAGTTGAGGAAAACATTGGCAGTGCCTTCGAGATGTAACACCTTTATTCACACATGGATGATGTCCTTACCTGCCACTGTTCCGTATATTTCAGGCTTCAAGCCATGGCAACTGGGGGGCCTGGGGACCTTGGGGACAGTGCTCCCGTACTTGTGGCGGAGGAGTTCAGTTTGCTTATCGTCACTGCAATAACCCGGCTCCTAGGAACAACGGCCGGTACTGCACCGGCAAGAGGGCCATCTACCGCTCCTGCAACGTCGCACCCTGCCCAGCAAATGGTAAGTGCCTTCGTGCCAAAGTGCCTTCGTGCTCCAGCCTCTATGCTCATAGACAGTAAATACTGAACATCTAGGGAGAAAGGAAACAGCAAAGGTCCATTGTAGTTTCTCCAAAATGTCTTTACCAAGGCAAGACGTTCATCATGAATACAATTCTGTAATTCTTCCCCCATCCCCACCCTGATGCTGTACAGAAAGGATGCTTGAATGAAAAGACATTTCAGTCCTGGAAAATGAACCGTAATGCAAACTCTAGTCCTTTAATGCTTGTTATGTCATGGGAAGATTTCCAAGCTAAAATAGTTGAAGGATTTGAAGGCCAGTTCTAAGTAAAGAGTTGAAGTGACATAACTTAAAAATTATGTAAAAAAGAAATTGGAATAATAGATGGGCATAATGATATTTGCAGTGTGGTCTGAAATAGTCGCTAATGATGTGAATAATTCTACAGCCAAATCTTTTCGACAAGAGCAGTGTGAAGCAAGGAATGGCTATCAGTCTGATGCAAAGGGTGTCAAGACATTTGTCGAATGGGTCCCCAAGTATGCTGGAGTACTTCCCGGAGACGTTTGCAAGCTCACCTGCCGAGCCAAAGGAACTGGCTACTATGTAGTATTTTCTCAGAAGGTAACGGCATCTCCAGTGATGATTTCATGCTCCAGT